CTAATGGGCCTTCTAGAGTTCTAGTTCTAGTAGAAGTCTAGAAGTAGAAGACTAGTAGGAATTAGGAAACTACTCAAACTAGGAAGTAGGAACTACCAAACTAGTAGATCTCTAGGTCGGGTCGGGTTGGTTTCGGTTTTCACGCAAGAAAACCGAAACGACCCGATATATCGGTTTTTGTATGTGCCCAACCCGAAACCGACCGATACGGATGAAAACCTGGCCGACTCGGGTTGGGTCGGTCCGGGTTGGTCGGTTTGGTTGGGTTGGGCATTCTTATGAACAGCCCTACCCTCCAAAGTCAAAATCTTTTTGTTGGGAAGTGGCTTATGAGAAGATTAACACCCTGAACTACCCGCAAAACAAAAGGCCTTTCTTGTGTATTTCCCAGAACTGATGCACTCTTTGCAAATCTGATGGTGAATCTTGTTACCATTTACTAATTTCTTGTTCCTTTGCTCCATATATTTGGGATTGGTTTTTCTCTCTATTTGAGTGTAGGTGGAACATGCCAATGGAGATTAAGTTACCATTTGACACTGCTACCTTTGCTTGGCCAAAAAGAAGGGGAAGAATAATGTAGAGTTTGTACTAGAGCAGTAGTGATTTGGACCCTATGGGAAGAACAAAATGCAAGAATCTTTCAAGAGAAGGAGAAAGGCAAACAACAGATTTTGGATTGTGCAATGACCAAGGTAATACATTGGCTACTAACACTGGATTTATGTGGACAATTCTCCTTTGATGATATTTGGAGGAGTTGGTTTTTGGTAGCATTTAGTTCAGTGCAGAAGATTAAAAACAAGGTCGGTGTGGACACCTTTGCTTGAAGGCTTTCTGAAATTAAACTTTGATGGGAGAAATCAAGGCAACCCAGGTACTTCAGGACTTGGAGGTCATAAGAAATAAAGAATGGATCATTCTAGCACTACATTCAGGATTGGTGGGGATTGGAGACTCTTTAAAGGCTGAAATGTTTGCAATATTATAAGGTGTTCAGACTGCAAAAGACTTGAACTTAGGAATGGCAACAGGGCGGGTTCAGGGCAGGGATCATATTCCTTATCCCCGTCTCCGATACCCGCCGGGGATAAAATTTGTCCTCCATCCTCGATCCCCAACGGGGATGGGTTCCCTGCGGGGACCCAAATCCCCGAAATTTTTTTAGATAATAGTATTCATTTGAAAAATAAATTTACTTAAAATAAATAAAAGTTTTAAATTATAAATAATGTTTTAAATATGTTTCGTTATATATATATATATA